GTGACCGCTCCGCTCTCACGCGTTGGTGTTTTTGTCCCCTGGGCTTTGCCGTGCGGACAGGCGCTGCCTTCCCGGCCGGACTGGGCGAGGAGTCTCGGCGCGGAGATGAGTGCCGTCAGCTCGCAGTAAGCTCCGGGGCTCTGCGCGGTTCCGCGGGCGTATTGGGCAGCAAGTGCTGTGCGTGTCTGGGACGAGTTGAGAAGAGCGCGGATCAGCGTTGGTGTTTTCCCTCGAGTCTTTATCATAGAGCCATGGAACGGTTTGGGATGGAAGGGACCTTACAGGTCATCTCGTTCCAATCCCCTGCCACGGGCAGGGACACCTTCCACCAGACCAGGCTGCTCAAAGCCTCGTCAGCCTGGCCTTGAACACTGCCAGGGAGGGGGCAGACACAGCTGCTCTGGGCAACCTGTGCCAGGGCCTCACCACCCTCGCAGTAAAGAATTTCTTTCCTATATCTAATCTAAATCTATCCTCTTTCAGTTTAAAGCCATTACCCCTTGTCCTATCCCCACATGCCCTGGTAAAATGTCCCTCTCCAGCTTTCTTGTAGGCCCCTTCAGGTACTGGAAGGCTGCTATAAGGTCTCCCTGCAGCCTTCTCTTCTCCAGGCTGAACAGCCCCAGCTCTCCCAGCCTTTCCTCACAGCAGAGGTGCTCCAGCCCTCGGATCATTTTTGTGGCCTCCTCTGGCCCCGCTCCAACAGGTGCATGTCTGTCCTGTTGCTGGGGGCTCCAGAGCTGGTTGCAGGACTCCATTTGGGATCTCACCAGAGCCGGGCAGAGGGGTAGAATCCCCTCCTTTGACCTGCTGGCCATCCTGCTTTGGATGCAGCCTGGGATACGGTTGGCTTTCTGGGCTGTAAGCACACCATTGCGCTTAGGATCATCACACTTGCTTTCATATGTATGAAGATTACCAGTGTGAAGAGAGAAATTGAATGTTGATTCACCAAGCCTTTTAAAAGGCAGAAAACATACAAGGGGTTCTTTAGTTTTTTGTTAGATACTTCACAAAGACAGTTGCAGCCGTTTACTGGAGTAGACTGATTGGGATAACCTAATTTTCAAAGGGGTTAGTTTGATGAAGTGCTATTTACCACAAAAGTAGTGAAGTATTTTGTGAATGTTGCAGAATGATACTTTATCGTAGAGTGTTATAACAAATCTCCTGTGTATTTACTGACTTTGGACAGAACAGCTTACCTTAATAAAGCTTGTGTTGAAATTCTTAGGTATATTGCACTCTTAACACAAATTTTCCTGTCTTATTCAGGGATGATGAAGATACCTTTAAAATACTCATTGCTACTGATATTCATCTTGGCTATTTGGAGAAGGATCCAGTTCGTGGAAATGATACATTTGTGACTTTTAATGAAATTCTGGACCATGCTCAGAAAAATGAAGTAAGTGCTGGTTTTTGGGAAGTGAAACAGTGAGGCTGTGGAAAACATGTTCCAACCTGCCAGAAGCAATAGAGCTTAGTCCTGGTGCAGCCTTCAGTAATACCAAATTAAAGGCTAGTGGGATCTTGAGGTGCATTAGGAAGAGCGCGGCCAGCAGGTCGAGGGAGGTTCTCCTTCCCCTCTACACTGCCCTAGGGAGGCCCCATCTGGAGTACTGTGTCCAGTTCTGGACTCCCCAGTTCAAGAAAGATGAGGAGCTACTGGAGAAAGTCCAGCAGAGGGCTATGAGGATGGTGAGGGGACTGGAGCATCTGTCCTATGAGGAAAGGGTGAGGGAGCTGGGCTTGTTCAGCCTGAAGAAGAGAAGGCTGCAAGGGGACCTAATAAATGCTTGTAAATATCTGAAGGGTGGGTGTCAGGAGGATGGGGCCAA